CGTGGTGTGAGGGGCAGCAGTGGGTGGAAGGATGCTCGATTGGTGCCAGGAGAGACCCAGAGGGAGGTTGAGGGGCTTTTCTGCCTGGGTGCTCCTCAGTCCTCATGGTTTATAGAATCATAGAATGGTTTGGGTTGGAAGGCACCTTCAAGATCATCTAGTTCCAACCCCCCTGCCATGGGCAGGGACACCCTCCACTACACCAGGTTGCTCAAAGCCTCATCCAACCTGGCCTTGAACACTTCCAGGGATGGGGCAGCCACAACTTCTCTGGGTAGCCTGGTCCACTGTCTCACCACCTTCATCGTAAGACATTTCTTCCTATGTCCAACCTAAACCCACTCTCTTTCAGTTAAAAACCATGGCAGCGAGACACCACGCTTGGGAAAAAGCAACTACAAAGGGAAAGAGAGGGAACACCACGACAGGCTTGGTGGGTCCCCAGGGTGGAGACAGGGGACTCCTGTGTCTCAGGGCTGGATACTGGTGGGTCACCTGGGCCAGGATGCTGGGCACAACCTCCAGTTCCAGCTCTGAAAGGTTAGAAAAGGCCACAGTCAGCTCTGGCAGCCTTCGCTCCGCACCCTGAGCTGAGAAGGACCAGGAGGAGGAGGAGGAGGATGCCGGCAGCAGCCGGGCAAGATCTCACCCCAAGCCGGCGGTGACAAAGGAGCTGTTTGCAATCACGGTCCCCACGACCTCCTCCCCAGCCTCTCCGAAATCGCTTCCATGTGTGCCGGGAGCCGTGGAGCCCATGGGGAGCTCAGCCCTGAACAATAGGAGAGTGGAGAGTGTGGAGGGGGGAGGCAGGGGCCACCCCCCCAGCCCACACACGACGGGACCGCGAGGCCACCATCTCCATCTTCCTCCTCCTCTCCCCGCCAGCTCGACCTCGCTCCTCCGGGAGGAGGAAGAGGAGACGCAGTGATGTCCTCTGGGACCGTGGCATGGGCCACGTCGCGGTGTCCCACCTGCCGCGCGGAGGAGCAGATCCCGAGGAAGGGACAGAGAAGCCTCGGGGTGGTTGCCACCCTTCGACCCATCATCTCAGGTGCTCGGATGTCTTCTCCTTACAGACTCCCGCCCCTCAAGCGGGCCATACACAAATTTGGGCAGCCTCGTGTTAGCGAGAGTATAAATAAACCTCCTGCTGCTGCGCAGTCCCAGCCTCAAGTGTCCTCCAACCTAAATATGGCCCGATCCGGGGCTGCTAGGAAGGGAGGGGACATCTCTGTGGCCACAGCATTCCCAACACCACGGGCTGTTTCAGCTACCGGAGAACCACGATTCCCAGCAGGCAGCACCAATGGGAGCGACGCTCCCAAATCCTCTGGGAAAAGGCATCATCCAGCACCTCCAGAGGAGGTGGGGGAGCACAGAACCCCTCTCCGCTTTCGGTGCTGGGAAGCGTAGTTGACTCCCCCCTCAGTATCTCCTGCCTGGAGCAAGAAGGTCTCACTTGGAGGCATCTCAGACAGCTTCAAAGCTACATCCTCAGCCTCTCCTCCAGGGAGACACCACCAGAGAAGGTCACTTCCCAAAATCTGCTCAGCCCCAAAACGCAACCACTTCCTGCAACCATCCGCATCAGTGCTCGTTGTGCTGGGAAGCGATTTTGATCTGCCCCAAAGGAGACCACAGCCCCCGAGACGCTCCCAGCTGCTGGGCACGAGGAC